CTCTGCGGTGTCCATCCATCCTACCAGCGTCAATAAAAATGAGATCAACAGAAAGGAAGCTTGGGGGGATTTTTCAGCCATTTTATGTGCGTTTCTGTGCAAAAGGTATAAATAATTACTAACTACTCATTAGGTAGAATCCTGAACAGCTGCTGCACAGACGAGCGCCGTTAAGGTCCTGCAGGACTGACCAAAGTATGTTGGTGCCATGTTAAAACAGGTCCTGCTTAGTTACAAACACGATTACCACTAGCAACGGCTAAATGTAGCACTTCAGGTGCACGCTGGGGTCAAGCGAGGCAGGAATTTCTCAGGTTTTAGGACAAACTAACCATAAACATGCTAAATTAATCGCACTGAACATTTATATATATTTAATAACTTTAAATTTCAGATGGGATCGATGCACCTCTTAAGACATGTTTAGTTGTATTAGTCATTTTAGCTCATCCTTACAGAATGAAAGGACCAGCTGCTAAAGCAGATCTCTGTATGCATCAATGCAATCCAGCAGTTTGTGGCCATTTTAAATAGAGATGCACAGATTATGTTAATGATCAATAAGACAATAAAAAAAATCAGGTCAACAAGAAAACGATTATTCGGAAAAAAATTAAATTCACATGGAAAATCCTGTATAGCCAGTGTGTTTGTGAGATGCAGATTATGGTTGATTCTGGCCATCAGATGAACTTGGTGAAGTTAAACGACAACAGCCATGCACGTAAGCCTGATTTGTGCGTCTCTGTCAGCTGCACAACGCAGAGACGCACGCGGAGTGTCAGAAAGGTTTTCACATGCGAACCTCTACGCAGGCAGTGGAGTGTTGAAAACAATCCCCCCCCCAGGACAACAGAGGGCGCAGCGCTTTTATGTGGTATCCTGCCACTATTATTCTCATGAATCAGGTCCAAGATAAAGAATTTACTAATGTGTTTATATAAGAGACTTTTTAACACGGACAAAGTAGTCCTTCATCCTCCTCCACCTCTAAACTTACGTTTCCTGTCATTTCCGTCCACGTTTGCTCCGTATTTTGTACTCCTTCAGTCACGGGTGAATAAATGTTAATATTGTCAGACTCTTTCTACGATGCATTCTTCAGTCTGTTCTGGGTCTGCCGCTAAATATCATTTTACCTTTTAACCGGGCAACGGCGGTGCTGGTGATGAATTTACAGGAAGCGGCGTCCTGACCAATCACAAGCTTGCATTCTCTGTCACTCATGACAGATGTTTGAAATTTTGGGCATGGCTCCGTCACCCTCTGTGAGCCCGTTGGAGAGCCCTTGCGCTGACGCATAATGGCGTTGCGTGCCTCAGCACCGACGCAGATGGAGAAGTATAAATCAGGCTTTAGGCATTAGGTGTGCTCAGACTAGCCATTAGCCTATCAGTCATGCAGGATGTAAACTATTTCTCCAAACAGAGGCCTTTCAGGAAGGCTGGGTGGTAATGATTAGCTTCCACAGAGAAAAAGGTCCCTTCAGGTACAGGAGTTTTTTTTCCCTGTTCTCAGGAGACCTCTGCCAAATAAATACTGGACACAGAACTACAATCAGACAGGAAGTAATATTCAGTTTTCTCCAAAACTGCTCATATATAAACACGTCTCTGGAACTTTTCCACATTTGGTAAAAATCACATTAAGGACACATTTGATGAGCAGCTGACTTTTATACAAACCCCTCCCATCATCCCAGATCCTCCTTCACTGACTTCAAATGCATCATGCATTCAGCCCAATGCACCCAGTAACAGTAAAGCACCATCTGCTTTTGCATGGACCTCATCTCCTGCTAGGCGATAGGACTTCCGCACTTAAAATACCACATGAGTCAGATTAAGCTGCCAGTCACTCGTCTCTCTCTCAGACACACACGGCTCACGTAGCTCGATCCCCCCCCCCCCCCCCCCCCCCCCCCGTGTTCTGGAGACAAACTAGCTCCAGCTCGCCTTACTCCGCTTCATCTTCTCTCTATGGAAATCCTCGCTGATCGTTTGTCTTTATATTGTGGACAGCCTGTGAAGGGAGGGGAGGAGAAAAAAAAGAACAAAAACCCTATGGGCTGCTGAGCCCCTGATGCAATCCCTCTTTGCTTCATCCACCCCCATTTTTTAAATTGCGTGACAGTCATGTGAACAAGGTCACGCACATTCTTTCATGCATGAGCCCCCAACTGTTGTTAGGATTCTGACAAGGCAGTCTGTGAAAATCAAGCATGTTTAATGTGCAGGGCACGGGACGTTTTCAGACTTTATGAATATGAAAAATAAAGACAGAAAGCAGCAGCATGCTCCGCCTCCACGTGGACGTCATCCTATCAAAGGATCAATCACCCACTATAAAAGGAAGCATCTATTATGAAGCAATGACCCTGACGCATGCACGGGCTGCAGATTCACGCTCTGATACTTGATGGGTCCTGAAGGCCACGTTAGGCCTGACTAACCTCAGCCAAAAGTCACCAAGTGCACTCCCAGAGCCAGAGAGCTGCAGCCTGTAATGAAGGGATGGGGAGGGAGGTTAAAAAGACAGCAGGCTGTAAAAAATAAAACAACTGAGGGGGCAGAAAGATGCCGCAAGTCTTCTTATTTGGGCTTTGGGCTTCCTGACAGGATTGCGGAAGGCGCTTTATAAATAAAGCTTTGATTGATTGATTGATTATTTCCAGAGAAGCCCACTGCTGCCAATAATGACTCGTATATTGATCATTCATTTGTTGATTGCTATTTTCCTGCATAAATTCAAAACTATCTAAATAAGAAGATGCACGGATTCTGATTCTCACGCAGCTCTGACCTGAAGAATGTTCCGGTTTTAAAATTTCTGAATCCAATGACTCTGGAAGGGAAAACTTGCACTTAGAAGATTTGTTATTGCTAGCATGAGTAACCACGGTGAGTCCAGAGACTAGGAAACGTAGGACTTTTATCGATAACATGATTTTTTTTAAAGTTCAGATTTCATGATTCAAATCACCACCCAGTATGTCCTCTAATATTTTAAATGTTTTGTGTGGAAAACAATAAACTTTAAGATTTTCTATAAAAATATTACATTACAATAAAAATGTTAAAAATCATCTAATTATAGTTTATGTAGTTAAAAATTAAGTCTGAACGTGTCGTTTAGCATGTGTCAAATCTGTAATTTTCTGTTATTTACTGCAATAAATAATGAAAACTGGGGGTGATTTTTGCCGTGTGTACAGTTTTAAATGTGTTTCGATACGATTCTGCTTTTAAAATTATCTCTACCACCAGCAGTGCTGAAAACTGGTAAATAGGTATAATCCAGATTAGGCTCCTCAAAGCCTTCAAAACAACACCAACAGGGTTAACCAGGTGGACTCAGACTGGAGCCTAAAAGGCTCCTCAGACATGCAGCAGATGGATGTGCTCATTTTTATTTAGCAGCCAAATTAAATTATATCCATTTTCTAGACCATAATTCTTTAAAAACTTGAAACCATGCTTTATTCTGTCATGATGACTTTGAAACTAACTTGAGGTAGCGCACACTAGTGGTGTGGAGGAGAACTGTTGCTACTGCTGACAGATTAAAAACCAACTGATGCCAACTACCATCCTGGTCCACGGCCTCCGCATATGCCGAACGTTTGCAGCAGGGGTTTGTTATTTTTGCCTTTCTGAGGTTTCTGGACTGTTTCTGACCGATTCCTGTGTGAAAATTTGATTTTTGAAGAATCCCTGCTCTGTGTCCTGGTTAGTTTTCCACCCATATGATCCAATAAGCTGCCGAGCCACGTGATGACAGTAACGGATGACTCTCCCACCAACGTTCCCCTGCATGTGCATTAAATTTTTTATTACTTTGAAGCAGTAAAGCAAAGAGCAGCTATGCTGTCCTCCTTCCACCCCCCTGTAACTCCTCCACTTTGAGCACAGGAGTGTGGAATGGAGGGATCAGAGGTCTTTTCCTGGGACAGACCCCCACCGTCTCCCTCAGACCTGCTCACATGGTTTAAATCAATGCTGCCACTAGAGCTGTTTAGTGGACCGGCTCAATAAAACATTATCAAGCTTGCTGCTTTGAAATGTTTGTCTCTTTAGTCGGGAGGAAATTCTAATCTCACCTAAGTTTCATAAACAAGCATCAGCAGCAGAGAGGGGCAAAGAAAACAAAACTGCAACACAAACAAACAAACAAAACCCGATTTGGGTGGTTTTGTTCTAACATCAAACATTCCCATCTGAATTTTCCTTTTGTCACATGTTACTATCCTCCAGAAGACCAGGAGGAAATTGGCCCTTAAGAGCCTGTGGAGATTCCTGCCTTTTTACGCTCCTGCGGCACTGAAAGACAACAGAAGTCTCTCTTTTCCATTGAGCTTCGTGCCGTGCAGCTGCTTTCAGGGGGGAAGAATGGCCTCTCATACCCTTTATGTAGCAATAAAACTCTTATTGCAACAGATCTTGTTTGAAAAAAGAAATGGCAGAATCACCTGTGGCTGCTTGACCCACAAAGCAAGAATATATAGACACAACAAACTGATCTGACCTTTTTGCATCATAAAAGTACCATTAAAAATTAAAAAGCTATTTATAGACATGACAGCAGGCATCACCACACAAACACACATTTTCTGCCGCTATGTTTATACTTTGAACTTGCATTATTGCTGTTATTTAGGTAGAAATTCTGCTCAAAATCCTGCAGTAATCAGAGTACAGCTGAGATGCACGTTTAATAAAGCTTAAAAATAAATACATTAATGCTCATGTAGGTGCAGTTGTCCCAGATTACTGGAGAACCTGGACCAAAGTGAAGTTTGAGCTGGTGGAGTTAGGAAAAGATTGCACCACTAGCATATTTCAGGAGCCTTTGTGCACAACAGTGATGCATCCTGAGACAGAAGAAAGTGGGTCAACTGTGTATATTTTTGCATGAATGCTTGGAAAAGCAAGGCCCTAGATGGAAGCTGTGGAGCTTGTGATAAAGCGGTGAAGTTGCTGGAGAAAGAGGCAGACACCTACAGTGGTTAGATCCGTTCCAGTGCTGGTTCCTGATGGACGTGCTGTAGGGATGAGGCGCTCCGGGCACCAGCCCTTTCTCCGGGATCAAGCATCCTCGGCTCTGGTTGTAGTAATCCATCATTAGAAACGGGTTCGGGCTGGGATTCAGTCCCACAACGTCCACACTCTCGTACATCATACGCAGCTGGGAAATCTATGGGATGGAAAACCCGAGGAGCCGAGCCACCGAGAGGTTTTCAGCCGAGAGGAGGGGGAGCCGAGACCATGGAAGGGGAGGAGGGGGGAGAAACGGCATCAAAATAGAGGGAAAAGTGATAAATCCACACGCGGAGGGGACATCCGAGCATCTGACCGGCTTCCTCTAATTTGAGGTTATTTTGGAAAAGCCGCCCGCATCGCGTCCAGCATCAGGAGCGCTCACACTCGGCTCTAATATTAGGATCAGCGCGCGCGCACAATTCATCCAAGACGATCAAATAAATCCAAGATAATAATAAAAAAATAATTAGAAAAGGAAAAAAAGAGGGTAAATCTCCCAGAGTCCGTGAGGGTGGGCAGAAATTCCGCGGAGTTGCCGTTCGTCTCGGTTGTCCCGTTAGCGCGCGCCGTTCCGTAGAGCCGGACGCCTCTGTCCTCTGCAGGTCTTTCCGTCTCCGTGCCTTTCGGTCCGACCGAGCTCTCGGATCCGGGTTACAGCGGCTTGTTTGTGTTTGGAGACTAAATCATCCCCGCAACGAACCGAGCTGCGATCAGAATCTGCAGAACTGTGACAAGGCGCAGCAGCTGAGGGGTCTGGCTCCGCCTCCTCTCTCTCTCTCTCTCTCTCTCTCTCTCCTGTGCTTCTCACCCGTGGCCCCGCCCCCTTTTAACCCCTTCAGGAGCAGCACAACCTCTCCAAACACCTCCCTCCCTCTAAACGAGCAGGGGGGCTTTAAATAGTGTTTGAGGACATGATTGAGTTATATAAGCTGTCTAATTAGTTTTCATATCTTTACAGGGAGTTCATGGACACACTGTGAGCTGCCTCTCACTCTTTCTGCTTTTCCTGGAAGTTCCTCCTTGGTTCAAATAAAAGGAGCCCCCCTCATGCTCTCATATGGGTCCTCTACACCCTCAGATTTTTTTCCTCCTCTTCTTCCTAAGCCACTGTCTCCCTAATTTGCCTAATGCTATGCTGCTGAACTTTTCCTGAACCCAGAAAAGAAGGCAGCCCTCACCTCCTGGTGACCCACCAGGTTGACTCGGATTCGCCTCCATGATTGCTCTCATCCCACATTATTCAAGGTTTCCCACCTTGTACACCCAGAGTAACACTATTACACTTTTTTTTTTTGCTCCTCGAGAGAGGCGCCTTGGTTCACACAGCAACCATCAAGAAACAAAAGTGTCAAAGTCACCCAGCAGCTACGAGCCACCGACGCTTTTGCTCACAGTTTACTCTCACAGCTGGAATAAAGTCCAGGAAGTTTGTCTCGTCGGCTTAAAAATGTCACCACAGCATTCCGTGCAGCATCATTGAGACTTGTCAAGCAGCCGTGTCATGCACAAAGTTCAAGTCTTTGCCAAAGAAAGCAGACAAGACATCAGTTTCATCTGTTGTGTATCGGGCAGTAAAAAGGTCAAAGACGCAGGTGAGGGCATCGTCCCTCATCATCACCAGAAGAGTAGCATCAGAGGTTCTAGCTGGTCCAGAACCAGATCATCATTATGAGCTAGTCCTGCCACGATTAGTCAATTCGTCACGACGACGTCGACTGTAAATTTTAAATCAACGTTGTTGTTTAATATTGCCTGCTGCTGCTAGCCTGGCAAGCCAGACTAAATAAATGTATTATTCTTTGCAAAGCAAGAATTTGGTCTAGTTCACTAGGCTATGCTGCTGCACCTTCGGCGGCTGATTTCTGCCTTTCTCCTCGAGGCACGTGCGCTGTAGTGGCCATCCAGATCAATCTTCGAATCAGAATCACCAGAGGAACAAATCATCAATGCGCACCGGCAACGTAGCTCAAAAGTTTGGGAGCATTTTACAAAGACAAAGAGAAGCACGTAGAGTGCAAAATCTACAAAGTGAAACTTTCACAGGAGCACATCAACGTCATGACGGAGAACAAAGAGTCGCCTCTGTAAGCTAATTACCTCTTGTTAGCTGCTACATCAACAGAGAGTTGCTTCCATTCATAGGTGTAGCAACAGCATTAGTGATGGCGATTTATTACCTTTAGAACCCTGTGTCACGTATTTGCTCTAATCTTACGAACGCTAATGATTTATTTTATCCCGCTATGTTACCGTTGCCTTTTGAACATCTTGGTCATGGACATCAGAACCCTGTCCATAGCTGGCAATCAAGGTTTCAAAGAGATGATGAAGCAGTTCAACGTAGGTCTCTCTCTCTCTCTCTCTCTCTCTCTCTCTCTCTCTCTCTCTCTCTCTCTCTCTCTCTCTCTCTCTCTCTCTCTCTCTCTCTCTCTCTCTCTCTCTCTCTCTCTCTCTCTCTCTCTCTCCTCTCTCTCTCTCTCTCTCTCTCTCTCTCTCTCCTCTCTCTCTCCTCTCTCTCTCTCTCTCTCTCTCTCTCCTCCTCTCTCTTCCTCTCTCCTCTCTCTCTCTCCTCTCTCCTCTCTCCTCTCTCTCTCTCTCTCCTACTCTCTCTCTCTCTCTCTGGTTACCACAAGGACCAATTTGGTGTGCCACCCCAAAACATTCTTTGGCCCTGTCTGCCCACCCTTAACAAAAGTTTCTGGAGGCGCCCCTGGCTAATGACGGGGATATTAGAGCATCCTGGTGCAATAAGCTAAACTTTTATGAATGACACAATTAGTCAACTAATCGTCAACAAAACGGTGGATCAGTCGACTATTAAATAGTCGTTTGTGGCAGCCTATAATAAACTCACATATTTCACTAAAAGTTACTTTTTCTTCTTATACATCCAAGTAGTCCTTATTTAACAGACATGTTAAATCCAAACGCTCCAGAAACGCCAAAGTAAAACAAAACATGAAATTACTGCATATAAACATGGCCTTGTTAATGTTTTGCGGACAGTTTGTTAAGAAGTGGAAAATGTAAAAATTACAAAACATCTAAATATTAGCTCTTAGCCCTGCTCGACACAAAGAGGATTTTCTCTTTTAAAAGTCCCGCTGGTGAGTGAGTTGTTACAAGACGGGTTCCAATATAATTCTCTAAAACTGCTTAGAGCAAACAAACACGGTTTCGTGACACTACTTGATGCTGATCCTGTGTGAAAACAGAGCTTCTTCTACTTATTCTTTTCTGAACTAAACCTGAAAACACAGATGCATCCTATGATCAGTCACAAGAGTGAATATCTACAACACTCATCCGCATAGCTTTAATAGATGATAAACAAACATCAAAGAGGCCAACTATTTCCTTAAATGCAGACGCTTTTAAATTATTTCACTGATGCACGAGCATTTAAAAAATGTTGCAGAACAAAAACACCAGCAGCAACTATGGGAGCTGCAATCTTTGGCTTGACATACAATGTGACCTTTTCATTTACATATTCATTATTGTGGACAAAGCCATGAGTGACTTGTAAATGACACCTCCAACAGAGCAATCCCTCACCTCCCCCCGCTGCCCCACACCTGAGCCACGGGGCCACAGCTGGGTCGGACCAGCACAGCTTTGGTAAAGGATTATCAGCAGGAGAAGGGGGACTTCTCCTGCTCCACCCCCACTGACTGTGACATTTATTTAATGCAGACCCTAGTGTGTTTACCCTGCCTGATAAGAGTCAATATGCAGGCCTAGGCCATGGCGACCCCTCGCCTGCATTGATAGCCACACACACTCCTTGACAGGATTAGCCCTATGAGTGGCTGTCAGAAAATGCTAATTTTCCAGCCTCTGTTTTCTTCTCCAAGGGGAGGGCATTCATACATGAGTGATACCCTGTGATTGCAAAGGAACACAGATAACAGGCTGTTGATCATTAGTTAGCAGGGCAGGAGGAGAAAAAAGTTTAGGCCATCAAAAAAGCAACATTTTCTCTTTTTTCTCATGTAACTTAAAAATCTATATTTGTAACGCTGCACAATGAACTGCATCAAAGCAGATTAAATGCAAATAATTCTGGAAATGTTGCGGTTTTTCTTTTTCATTCATACATGAGTTTGTGCATTGCATATAGAGACGGACTCCAGGCACACAAATTCAACAAATGAATGTAGAATTAATGCTGTCATCTGGGAGATGTAGAAATCCAGCCGAAGCATCAGCAGAGCAACTTGACACATGCATGTTGATAGGTGTGTGTCCCAAACTAAAAGACTTCAAGACAGCAGAGGTCCTAAAATCAGATGGCAGGGAATGCATAGTGCTGCAATCCGAGTTTCATTTTTATTTGTGGTTTATAGTGGTCGAAGGCTACAATACTAGCTCACTGGCTATGCGTATATACGTGTACTTTTATTATTTTTCTTCTAATTATTCTAAGTGTCTGTGTTGCTGTAGCAAGTGAATTTCCCACTGTGGGATCAATATAATTATTCTACTCTATGAATGATCTGCACTTGTAAAGCACCTTTCACAGTCAGAGGACTCCAAGGCGCTTTACACTACAGTGTGTTATTCATCCATTCACACACTGGTGGTGATGAGCTACAATGTAACTGCAGCTTCCCTGGTGCTCATTGACAGAGGCCAGGTTGCCGTGCACTGGCGCCACCGGTCCCTCTGACCACCTCCAGCAGCGTTCTCTGTCGGGATCGGTCCTACAACCCTACGATTACTGGAACACCCGCTCTACCTCCTGAGCTACTGCTGCCCAAATGCACCGATCACAGTTGTTAAGGCTGATACAAGGCGAGTTGTTATTATCAGGGTAAATTCACCGAACATCCCAGCATCCTCATGTCTCCACTTCATCCGCCGGCTGAACGGGTCATTTTCAGGAACTTTCAGAGTACCTGCACAGGGGTAGGTGCTCGGAAAGGCCCGGTTGAGCAGCAGAGCGGAACCCTTGGTTAACTCGCTCTGACTGGTAAATGACATCAGCAGACATCCAAAACAACTAACGTTTGTAAAGTACAGTTACGTGTACATGCATTCACGTTGCTTTAAAATCGCCCTAATTAATCTCCCAACACCCAAAAACTCACAATGATGTAATTCACGAGACTTTGTTGTCCCACAGAGCACTGTAAAAAACTACACTTCTTCTGGTCATTGAACGCCACCGCCTACATCAAACGGCAGCTCTCCCGGTCCTCCCAATGGGTTAAATTGCCGTACTTGAACAAAGTAAAACTTCTGATGTTACTGGATAGTTTTTGGTGCTGATCGGTGACATCACTCACTGCTGAAGCAGCCACGATATGCCGAAGTCCTAAAAGGGTTGACTCTGTATGGAGACACAACAGCAGAGAGGACAGGTCCATCTTATCTCCCAGTCAATTTCCCCCTCCTAGAAATTACCCGGAAGCTCCGAGAATGGAAACACAGCTACTGATTTCTAACTTTAATAAAGCTTTGATCTGCCAATTCCACTTTTTACTGATTTTGGATTGACCAGATTTTGAATAGGTGCTAAAATAAGTGACTGGTGGTCAGAATCGGTCAATAGAGCTCCGGGAGTTGACGTCACTTCTCCCGGCATGCAACAGTTCAAATCGAAACAGCGCCATTTGGCAGGCAGAAGCCGGCAGCTGGACTATTTGTTATTGTCAGAAAACTCAATCAAACGGGAAATATGGTAGATTCCTGTTGTGCCCCAGGATGCAGAACAGACGTGGACGACATAAGGAATGAGCCATCTACAGGATTCCCCAAGATCCGGAGCGCCGCAAACGTTGGATCATTGTAATAAAACGCGCTAGTGACCGGGCTAAAATGAAACTGTGGGATCCCGAGAGTAAAGGTTTTCACTTATGCAGCGACCGCTTCATATCAGGTACTTAAACCAACGTTTCCTCAACTGTGTATGGTATTTATTTTAAATGCTTTTATTACGATTCTTAGTGGGCTTCCTAAACTTATTTTGGCGTGGCTTTTTCTGTCTTATTGCTCATAGCAACAAGTAAACGTCACGTAAAACCTTGCCTCGTGAGTTCTGCGTGCTGCCGTTTATGTGTTTTATGATCACAGCAATTAACCGGCTAAGTTGTATTTAATTTTTAAGCAATGGTTGATCAATTGTCAGATCACACATAAAAAGCACTTTGGATTGCTATTATCTGTCTCACCGAGACAGCTCTCAGATGGATCCTGAGACACTCCTGCCTGACATATTTATTTTATTCACGGAAAAAAATCAAACTAGTGATTTCTCTTGGCGTTCAGTTTATACATTCAAACAGCACAGCACTCTATTTAAACTATTTACGTGTAAATCTGTTATTTGTCCATCTATCCATCCATTTTCATCCGCTTATCCGGAGTCGGGTTGCGGGGGCAGTAGCGTCGAGAGGCCCTGACTTCCCTCTCCCCAGCCGCCGGAGCCAGCTCCTCCGGGTAAATCCCAAGGGGTTCCCCGGCCAGGTCTGGTGTTGTGCCATAAATCGACTCGCTGCCAAAAAATGATTAGCTTAGTTTTTCCAGTTCGGAAGTTGTTTTAAGTGTTGCTATTTGTCTTAAACGTTCACAATGAGGATATATTAATCCTTTTTGCAATATTTGCGATTGAAAGATGGTTTGTGGTAAGAACTGGCTTTCTTTATGTTACAGCCTTGATACTAAAAAGTAAATAAACAATGTAAAATGGTGCCCTGTATTGAATGTAAACGTTGTATAAATGTAAATAAACAATTCTCCAGCGATTTGATTTTTCCCCCTTCCTTTCTTTAGTGGCTAAACATTTTTTGGCAGCGAGTCGATTTATGGCACAACACCGGTAAGAAGTCCACTCCGACAGCTTCTGGCATTTTTAAAAAGTATCCCAGGGGCACGGTAAGGGTCGGAGATGTTTAGTCTATTTAATTTCTGACTATATAAAACAATTTCTTCGGTTTTAAAGTGTGAAGTAAACTCAGACGAAGTAAAATCCAAGCGGATCCCGTTCACGTTCATGGTTACATCCGTGTTTGTTTACCTTTTCTTCCTGCCAAAATGGCGTCTACTAACTGAGAGTCACGTGGGGTCCGTAGCTCTATATTAACCAGTGATCGACTAATCTAAAATCAGTCCATGAATGCAATGAAAACCCTGTCAATCTTCCCCGTCTGTCAACTCGACTTCACTAAGCTCTAATTCCCTCTAGCGATAACTGTTCTTCCACACAGAAGTTCTTACCTCCAGAACAACAATTTTAAGTTCATCAGAATGTTAAAAAGTCTTAATTATAGTACTTTGGCTTAAATCTGAATCCGCAGGTTAGAGGTGTGCAAGAATCAGAAA